GCTCTTAGAAATGTATAAATCCATCTCCCCACCCCTCCGATTATACCAGTCTCTTTAACTTTAGTTGGCAACTAGTCTAGGAGAAAAAGAACACTGAAACCCAAAACAATGAAGCTAGTAACTCCACTACCTGTATAAAAAAAATCTACAGAAACCACAGCAGTAAGATCTAGATTGACGAAACTAGGGCCCTATACTCTGTAGTGAAAACTACAGGAAGTGTTTTCAACAGTGAACAGAAATATGAAGCCGTAATCCAAAGGTGCATTTGAATAGCGAAATATGCCTTCCAAAAGCTAAGCGAAGTATTAAGAAATAGGATAATTTTGTTAGAAACAAAGAAAAGTGTTAAATTATTATTTAATATCAGTCATTAATTATGGCAGTGAATGTTGGACAATCTCCTCGCAAATGAAGAAGTAACTTGAGACAACGGAAATGTTGTTCAACAGGAGGATTCTATAAATACCATGTACTGAACATTTAAGAATCAGAACGAGACAATGGAACTTAATAATAAGGTAAGAGAGCTTGAAGAAGTGAATAACAGAGCAGGAACTTGCAGTGATTATGAAACGACAAACCTAAGATAGGAAGTTGGGGAGAACCATTTTCGCCTACTTCATGAAGTCGAATAAAAAAGGTAGACGCTAGAATAAAAAAAAAAGTCCGGTTTATACGACATTCGAAAGGTCAGACACTGATTTGTTTTAAACTATATTAAGCAGGTAGGTGTAAATTTACACGAGTCAAACGCGTAGATCTAGTCCCGGTTTACACTAGATTAAACAAAAGAATCCAGTTTATACTAGGGTTAATAATTTGATTGAGTCATTTTCTAGGACTGATCAACCCTTTTGCAGCTTATTTAAAGCCAGAGAAAAATATTTTTTTAGATTGGAAGAATTTTTTCAAATATAATAATGATATAGTGATACCAAGTCTTATTAATTATATTCACTTAGTGTAAATAGCTGGTGTGGAGATGGCGTGAATTCAAACCTTTTCTAAGGGTATTTGCGCTGAAGTGAATATAACGAACCCAACGGGAACTGGAACTCTCTAATTAACAATTCAGAGCCATTATCCATTACACTAGCCAAGCTGACCTGGTATTCCCAAGAGGTGACCCATCTAGGTACTGACGGTGATCGTACGGGAGACAATGTTTCAACGCAATATGGCCATAATCCTCAAAGTAGACCGTGGTATTGTGTGTGTGTGTGTAAGAAAAGAGAAGAAGTGGAGTTTATAGGGCTATGAAAGGGAAGATAAGGCCTAACCCTAGAGGTTAAAGCACCATGTCAATGCTTCGGTGATCGTACGAGAACCGGTGTTTCAACGAAATGTTTCCCTCAGTAAGGTAGACACTAGTGATATGTATCACGTCTCCCGTAACCCATTATGTTCATAAGGACACCACATATACACCTCATGTGTCTTATACTACCGTGCATCCAAGTTACGTGTATAACCGAATTTAAAAGATCCACTCGGGATGCAGTCGATACTTTCACTGTCATACAATTAAGAATTTACTGCGATGAAAGTTCTAATTTTCCCCACCCTCAAGCATCGGATTCTCCGCGTTTTTTAAAATGTAATATTCTCTAAGGTCATTGCCTGCCACAAATTCCATTTTTAATATGTAGTAGAGAAAAGGATAACCGCTCGGATTGTGGATCGAAGAGACTGGTTCGAATCCCAATCGAGTTTATTGCATTCACTTAAGTGTTAATACCTTTGGGAAAGGTATGAATCCACCTCTTCCTTCCAGCTATGGGAAAATAGGACAGACTCGACCCTATATCCTTGGCTATCAACCAGTCTACGAGAAGAAAAACTCTGAATACAAACTACCCGCTGCCTTGTAGGCAAAGTCTACAAGAAGGTAACTTTTAAAAAATCCAACTCACATCGTCATCTCGAAGAAAGGAACTACCCTCGTACTTCCAGCCACGACAGAAAATAAGGAACTCTTTGGGTTTCGCACAATGGTTCGAACAAACACATGACTAGGACACGGCGCCATGGAGCTCTCTGATTTCGGTCCATTTACACATGGGTGGATCCCCGATGGCACTTTCGACGAATAAGTAACTTGAGACAACGGAAATGTTGTTCAACAGGAGGATTCTATAAATACCATGTACTGAACATTTAAGAATCAGAACGAGACAATGGAACTTAATAATAAGGTAAGAGAGCTTGAAGAAGTGAATAACAGAGCAGGAACTTGCAGTGATTATGAAACGACAAACCTAAGATAGGAAGTTGTGGAGAACCATGTTCACCCATTTCATGAAGTAGAGTAAAAAAGGTAGACGTTAAAGCTAGAATAAAAAAGGTCCGGTTTACACGACAATCGAAAGGTCAGACACGGATTTGTTTTAAACTGCATTAAGCAGGTAGGCGTAAGTTTACACGAGTCAAACGCGTCGACCTAGTCCCGGTATTAGGAAAGAGATTTGGATCGTATTGCCTGCAAAAACTAGATATGTTCTCAAATAGCCTCGTTGGATCGAGGTTTTCATTTCTATTGCTTCAAATGTCTTCTTCATCTGTGAGGAGATTGTGCAGCATTCACTGCCATATAGAAGGACTGATACCACATAACAGTTCGGTACACTTTTCTTTGTTTCTAACGATATATTTCTGTTTCTTAATACTTTGCTCGGCTTTTGGAAGGCATCTTTTACTATTCCAATGCGTGGCTGTCATATAGCGGCGTACCGAGTCATTGTTTAATTTGCTGCCACTCTAAACAACATTACTGGAAGACGAGTAACTACCGACATCGTGGTTTGAGCGTGACAATCTGGACTTATAAAAATATGTTTTCTGCCAGGTATATAAATAGCGGTGTCAGGCTACTGACTGCAGTGATTATTGAGTGGTTATTGATTGGAACTATCCAGCCGAATTAGTGTGAATTATTGTGCGTCGATGATTTGGGTTTTGATTTAGGACTTACCGAATGTTATGCTGAGCCGCGTTACTAACAAGGTATTCACTGAAATGATTAATTATCTTTGGTTGAGTTTTACTTTGTTTTTGTTAATTATTTATTTGCGGTTGTAATTAAATACTCTTTTTATTTAACAGTGAAGTCTTGAGTTATACTTAGTTATTAAAGGACACGGTAATTCCAAAACATGACCGCATTTACTTCATTACAACAACCTGCTATTTCATTATAATCTTCTTCTTCTTCTATGTAACGTGTCTCTTCATTACATGGACGATTATAGCTCTCCATAATTTCCTATCCTTTGGTAGCCCTTGAGAAAGCTTGTCTTTTTTGCTCCATCTCCTAATCTCTGTTCTGCCAATCATTTACACATCTTCGCCAAGTGGGCTATACGCTGCCTTCCTTTGTACCTCTTGCCTTCAATAGGCACTGTGAGTGTCGATTTTTCCGAAATCTTTTTCCTCATTATGGAACCGAAATTTTTCAACGGTCTCCTTCTGTTGCTACATATAAGTGTCCTTTTCGTTTCAAATTTTCTGTAAACCGCCGGCATTGCTTACGTGTTCAGTGCATGGTATTCTCAGCATCCTTCTGTAGAACCACATTTCTGTTGCCTCAAATTTATAAATATTTTAATAAGGAGTGAAAATCAAATGTAATTATTTATTTCATTTTTTACAGTGTTCGCATCTATATCTAATATATAAATACAATTTTCTTCCGACATATTTGTATAAGTGTCTGTTAATATTTTTTTATTAGATTGTTCACTATCCACTGCCATATAGGAGGAGCGATACTACATAACAGTTCAGTACTCTTTTCTTTGTTTCTTATGAAATTTTCCTGTTTTTGAATACATTGTTTAGCTTTTGGAAGGCATCTTTCGCTATTACAATGCGCCTTCAGATTTCGGTGCTGCATTTTACATCCTAGCTATTTAAATTGTTGTCCTGTTTAATTTTGGTATCCCCAATTTGTAATTCGTGTACCTTGGCACCTCGGGTGCCTCTCCTCACTCTTGTCCTTCTAGAATAATCAAATATGATTGAAAAATTAAACATTTATCTGACTGCAAAAGACAGAATAATCTTTTGGGGCAACCCACTAGATCTGTTTAGCGATTATAAGTATTACAAATTGTATTGTAATAATTGATTGAGTCATTCATTCAATTTTTTCGGCTTATCAACCCCCTACAGGTCACGCAAAGCGATAAAATACCTTTAGATTGTAATAATTTTGTTTTGGAAATAATAATAGTTTACTGATGTAATGGAATAACCTGTCACCCCCATGAATGATTACACTATAGGTAGTAAGTACCTATAAAGTTAACCGTCTACGAGAGGACAGAAGAAGGAAGAGTGATAGAGACAATGCAAGCACGTCTGACCTTCCAATTAGTGGCACTCACTATGAGATTGACCTGTCTGTATAACTGTACTATGTTTCATATTGTACTTGTTGTGTACAATAAACCTTCCTCCACCTGGTGTTATGCGTTTATGTCTTTAGCACGGAATATAACATTTAGTAATACAAGTTTTACTAATTAACCCGTTGCTGAGGAGAGAAGAATCGGATTCATAACTTTTCAAAGGTATTTGTTGTTACAGTTTTTGTGTATATATAATGTAACTAGTGAGTTTGCTCAAATGACTTAACTCACTTTATAGTCCACCAATAGAAGGTTAACCAATCAGAAGACGTAGAATATTCAATCCGTCGTGTATAAAGGCGGCCATTTTGTTCACTCTACCCGAATGTCCAGTCCACTTTGTCAGGCGAAGAGAAATAGAAGGATGAACTATGCTCAGCTACCTTTTACCAAAATATCCACTGCTAACCTGAGCAACGCTTTCTTACTGTCTTCGAAATATTCACTGCTAATCTCTGGATTCTATACTCGAAGACAACCGTCATTATGAACAACATTTATACGTAACGAACTCAAATCGAACTGGATCTCGGACTTCCAGTTAAAAATTTCGAGCCATTACAGATTACACCACCCGCACATCCAAGTTTACAGCATCTGGCATTTCCAAGCGGTCACCCATCTAGGTACTGATTAGGCTCGACGTTACTTAACTTCGATGATCTTACAGGAACAGGTGTTTCAACGTGACATTGTTGCAACGTGATGTAATAATTAATGGTGTTCCCACTTGCTAAAACTCTTGCAGAATCATTTTCTCTCCAGGTATATTTTATTAACGAGTGAAAAGCAAGTAGAAAGGGTCATTTAGTTACGTGCCATACGTGATGCACGTTTGAGCGATCATGTCTCTTTCGATAGATGACTGACGAGGTAGAAGTTTTTTCCGTAGTAGGTTTCCATTTCTTTCTGCGGTAGACTGGTTGCCAAACAAGGCTATAGGACTTATAATGCCTGTTTGTAGGAGAGACTTTGTAAATCCATTCAACGCATAGCTGGAGGGAGAGTAGTTGGATTCATACATTTCATTCCAAAGTGAATGTAACTCGACTGGAATTTGAACTCGGCTCTCCGATTTTGAATTCGGAGCCTTTCTTTCTTTCTTTCTTTCTTTCTTTCTTTCTTTCTTTCTTTCTTTTTACACAGGTACGTAGCTCTATCTATATATAAATGCAATTTACTTTTCTTTCTTTCTTTCTTTCTTTCTTTCTTTCTTTCTTCCGAAATGTTTGCTTAAGTGTCTGTCAGTATCGTTAACAGATTTCAAATACCGGATCTTCTTTTACGAAACTTTACAAATAGCTTACACGTGGCTGCGAAAATAAATATGGTAGATGTCTTTACTCATTGACTGGATCAAGAAAATAGAAATTTTTTTAATTTCCTTTCTGGCTAAAATAAATATCATATTAACTATTATATATATTTCTTTTAACCTCTCACATACACACACTAAACAGAGGCAATTTAAATTAAAATTTAAAGTCCCTTTTTCTTTTCTGCCTTTTCCCATATCATTTCCGTTAAGCGGACTGATTAAATAAGTCAATGTCTGATCCTTACACCCTCCTTCCTCAATATTAAGTATTGTAATAAAAAAAATATAAAGATAAATTTTAAACTCTTCCTTCCCTCTCTAAACTCGAGCATGTCTCTCACACCATTACTCATCACTCTCTAATTCAACTTATATAAGCTTAATACTGCCCGTCAAAAGTGTAAATTTTAAATTCAATTTTTCGTTTCGTCTTTGAAAGTAAAGTCTGAGGATCCAGAGAAAAAAATTCTCTGGTGAAATAAATTATTACAATGGAGCCTTAAAGTGGTCTGTTTTTCTTTTAAATTAAATTATTCGCTCAGACTTAACAGGATTTCATCCTCCTTTGGATTATCCATACGGATTACCAAGATTTTCATTACTTATATATATATATATATATATATATATATATATATATATATATATATATATACACACACAAGGTGCGATGGGTAAATTGTTGCCATTTTATATTTTAATTTTAAAAGTTTTAAAGTTGTTTGCTTTGGATTTGTTTTACACAATATGGTATAGTCAGTTGAGAAAAAGATCCCCATGACGCAATTCACTCCGACAGAAATTCGACATTCGCACCGGAAGCTCCAATATGAACATTTCAGAGAATTTTCGGTGTCAATCTGATGTCAGTGCTGATGATATATCCAGTTAACATTATGGCGTTTGGAGTGATCCCTAGTGATGGCGATGTTATGCCTCTAATCATCTTCACACAGTGCCTCAGACTCAACACGGAGGACTACTTCAAGTGACTTGAGGAGGAAGTGCTGGCCAGGATTAAGAGGTGGGGGGGGATGGACTCTGCACCATAGAACACAAGCATGAGAACACAGTCTTATTTGTCAGTCAATTTATTAACATATATATATATATATATATATATATATATATATATATATATATATATATATATATATATAAAGAAATATAGTCTTAAGGTGTGGTATATTTATGGTATAAAGTGCTCAATATCAGAGATAGAGCGTGTTTAAATATAAACGTGAACATTGACGTCAACACTGAGAGGCGACAGGCTGTTTCATGCTAGACGCAATCGTCACGATTGCGTCTAGCATGAAACAGCCTGTCGCCTCTCAGTGTTGACTCCAATGTTCATTATATATATATATATATATATATATATATATATATATATATATATATATATATATACTTTTTTTATGAAAGGCGACTGCTGACAAGTCACTGCGTTTGAGCAGTTTCTTATTATATTTTTCTTGCATTCGGGCAATTATATTTTCTTACATTCGTATTTTCTTTGCTGGACATAGAATGTGTAAAAACTGTCCAAATGATTTGTCGATCCGACCTATTTCGTCTTATCTGTTAGACATTATCAAAGATTTTTTTTATTTTTTGGGTTTAACTGAATATGTAGAATTTTATGTTTACAGGGATGGAAATTTTTTTTTTCAAATTCCGAACTCGATCATCAGGGTCATACAACCACATGCTCATCACGAAGGCTTACTTTGAATCTCTCGGATTTGGATCATAGTTCCGTTAGGACGCATTCAAATGCACATAGAGACCTACCAACATCTGTCCCCAATATACTAGTGGGAAAAACGACTAATAGACATACCCACATGCAAAATACGCTTAATAATAATGGAAGCATTAATAATAAAAAGAAAACAATTCCCCATGTATAATACGCATTTTTTCTAAAAAATAATAAACAAAAGCGGGGGTGCGTATTATGCACAACTAAAAAAATATTGCCGTAAAATAAAATAAGAATTATTATAAAACTAAATGAGAATTATATTATTATTTATTTAAAATCATTTTTTAAAAATATGTGTAGGAAACGATGGCCGTAATGAAAATAGAGAGGTACAATTTATAGGTTTGATTACCAAACAAGGGGAGCGTATTATACATGAGTAGAAGCATTTTCCTACGCTTTCAGCATAATTTTAAGGGTACGTATTATATATGGATGCGTATTATAGATGGGTAATTACGGTATGTTAATTGTGAACTTGTACTGACCGTATTCAGAAATTAAAAACATACCCATCTCTATACATACATATATGTAAAAATGTACATATTCAGTTAAAACAAACAAAATATCCTCAATAATTGTTACTACAGGGTGATCCGAAAGTCTTGTCTCCACTAAATAATATAATGTTCTATTTCAGATGGCTGACACAAGCTCCTACATGAAAATGATGATGTTCCTACAGACACTGTTGATGTGTGACAACGTAAATGAAAGTGAATAAACTGAATCCAGCACATGTGCATTGTATTATTGTATTACTTGTTCTTCTATTGTTTTCTTTACTTTTTGGTAGAGGGTGACAAGATTTTCGGACCACCCTGTAGAATAACCAAAAGAGTTCGAATCCACAGATCATTTGGACAGATTTTATACAATCTTTGTGTCCAGAAAAAATAATTGTACGAATGGAAGAAAATAATAATAAAAATCTTAATTGTAGTTCTTCGTCAATCGTCTTCAATGAAACTTGTATAAATACACAATTATATATATATGCCTAGCCGCGTACACAATTCCAGAAAATCCTCGTTGAAAACACAACTATACTTAAAAATGAAAACAATAAACAAAAACTAAAAATTCTTGAAGCTATATACATAAAACTGTTGAAACCTAACCTGAACAAAATAAACTATGAAATCTCCACAAACATTCTTAAAAGCCTATAATTGATAACAGAAGCCATTGGTTTATAACAATTGCTTCCCATACTTAATACTTCTCGTTTTCACTCTCGCGTGGTTATGTGTGACATCACGAGCTTCTGCGTCTCGTATACACGAGTTCGTCGTTGCTTTGAAATTTTTCATACAACAAAAACAGTAATTGTCATCTTTGATAATGGTTTATTTAAGCCGAAAGCTTTTACTGGATTTAAACATGTATCAATATGGTGATTTCCTTTCGTCTTTCAATGATAATGTTATTAAGCTTATCAGACAACATGAAAAGAACTTACTTAAAATAAATAGTCAAAACTTGTCTATATTATTTAATGAAACATGCATTAATGAAAAATTGCTGCCTAAATATACACAATATATATATATATATATACACACACAATATATATATATATATATATATATATATATATATATATATATATATATATATATTAGCTTCTTATCAGATTGAAGAAGTTACATTTGTTTCACAATTATGATACATGGTTGCCACACGCTTATAGTTTGTTTTTATTTCTTGTCTGCCACTCATGACCTTGTCTAGGATTATATTTCAAACCAGATTTTATCATGATAAAATTTCCACTACATTTTTTTAGGTTATTTTTTTTTTAATTTAGCGTAGGTCTGACACCTAATTGGTTTATCAGAGTAAACCCACAAGTCTCATTTTAATTTTGATTTGTTGTTGTCTGCTTTTTAAAATTTAAAAATGATTTTTTAGTCACCAGTTATTTACCATCGCATGAAGAAGCACAACTGTAGTGCTGAAACATGAAAACTCTTGTGTAGCGATATTTAACATGTTTTTGTTTTAATCCCACATAATGAATAATATTAAGCTATACTCTATATTGGGCACTTTTATTAAAAATTAAATGTTACAGACACTGGAATTATACCTCATTTGTTCTTATCCCATACCTGGATATATATATATATATATATATATATATGTGTGTGTGTGTGTGTGTGTGTGTGCGTGTGTGTGTGTTTGTGTGTGTGTTTCATTGAACAAGACTAATAAGGTAATTTAGTGTTTGTTATAGGTTTTCTTGCGTGCGGAGAAGTGTTCTTTTATCTGGACTTCATGAATGTAAAAATAGTCTAAATTTCTTGTTGATTCCTTGCGATTTAAACCGTTTTATATTTTCAAAGCTTTTTCAAAGCTTTTGTCATATTACTATAATAAAAGGTGAGTAAGTGCAACTGTACACTGTATACAAGTTGTTCAAACTAGGCGTATTCTTAATTTCCAAATACGGCAAGTGCATTGTGAGCATATTCATAATAGATATTCTATACATACATATATATATATATATACATATATATATATATATATATATATATATATATATATATATATATATATATATATATATTGCATATTTGGACAGGAATTTCTGCT